TATATGACAGGTACTGTAGTAAGAAGTTTATATACCTCCTCCTATTTAAATTCTACATATTTTTCCTAGCTGAGCTTCAATTTCCTCATCTAAAAAAAAAAAAAATGGAAATAATACCTACCTCAAAAGACTATTATGAAGATTAAATGGGACTTATAAAAAGGAGGTAATTAATATTTATTGAACACCTACCATGGATCAGTCACTGTGGTTTGTTCTTTCACTTACTTTATCTCAACCATTAGTTCCATTTCTTTCTTTCTTTTTTTTTTTTTTTTTTCATTTCAAGGAATAAACAGTCTTTATTGGGCTCACCCCAGGAGTCCATGGGTCTTGAGGACCTCTGTGGATCTGCCAAATTTCTTCTCAACGTTCTTTTCATCCTGTCTCCATAGCCTCATGAGCTGTTTTTAATTCTGGTGAAGTAATGCCTTCTTTTCTAAGAGCAGGACCTATGCCACTTGAGATAGCCCCTCCATTGTGTGAAAGTTAGGTGGGAAAGTGGGGGTGGGATGGGAGGAGCTCCACTAACTGCAAAATTAGCTCATGTACTGTTGGCTTGCTTGCCTTGGCTAATACCTCTTGGCGTGGTGATCAGGCAACCGAGTTGCCACGCTTGCAGCTTTAAAAACCAAGAACAAAAACGGTTTGGGGCCACACCTTGAATTGGCTGGTGCGGTCTCGGCCGCTGGAAATAAAAATCTTTTTCTCTTTTTCTATATCAGTCTCCAAGGGCGATTTTCTCCCGATGCCTATAACACTGGTAATAGAGCTTGTCCTTTTCTCTTCTCTTCTGGGTGGCTGTCACCGCCCCATTTTGAAAATGGGGATAATGGGGTAAAGCAAAAGTGACCAAAACAATTTTTCCCCAGTGCAGGAACCTCTATGAAGAATTCACAAAACAAATGTTTACTGAATGTTTGCAGTGTGGCAGGTATTTTTCTTGGTTGTCGTGAACAAGACAGAGTATGTCTCAAAAAAGTTTTTGGCATAAGCACCTAGAAAATGGGGGTGTGAAGAAGTAATGGTTTATAGGGAAGAAGGGTGAATAGCACCATTTTGGCCACAGTAGGTTCAAGATATCTTTCCAAGAGGTGATGTTGAATAGGAGCTGGAGATATGTCTGGAATGTAAAGGAGAGGTCTAGGCTAGAGATGAAACACTGAATCATCAACATTTAGGTAATATTTAAAGCTATGGCACTGAGATTTCCTAAGAAAAAAGTAAAGGCAAACTGAGGCCCTCCAAAATTTAGAAGCCTGATAGAGGAGAAATATTCAAGAAAAGACCCACAGAAGTCAGCCATGAGGTAAGTAGAAAACTGCATGAGTCTGGTGTCATGGAAGCCTGGAGAAAAACATTTCCAAGAGGGAATAATCACTAGTAATGCTAAGTCAAGTGAAATACAGAGAACTGATCCCTAGTTATGGCAAAAGGGTGGTCTTTCATTCAGTAAACATTTATTGAGTACCAACTGTGTACCAAATACTGCTCAAGGGCCTATGGATACACCAGTGAACAAAACATAAAAATTCCTACCCTCAGGGGATTCACATTCTAGTGGAAGGAAAAAGACAAATAATAGTATGTTAGCAGGGAAGAATGTTCTATGTGGGGGAGGGGTTGTGATTTTAAATAGGGTTGTCAGGGAAAACCATTCTGTGGTGACATTTGAGGACCTGAATGAGTACAAGGAGCAAGCCATGCAGGTGTCTGGAGGAAGAGCATTTAAAGAGAGAAGAAAATGTTCAAAAGTGCCTGGAGTGTTGAAAGACTCATGAGGATATTAGAGTGGCTGGAGCAGAGTAAGACAGGAGGGTAACTGAATGAAGCAATAGGGGAATTGAGGTTCTGAGACATGCAGCCAGGGTTTTGAGCAGAGCAGTGACACTGGCTGACCTCCATGTTTACAGAATCATGCAGATAGCTGTGCTGATGATAGTAGACTGTTGGGGTCAGGGTAGGGGTTGGGGTGAGAGGTAAGGGTCAAAGCAGGGGAATTGGTTAGGAGGCAACTGCAATAATTTAGGTAAAAAATGGTGAGCCTTGGGCCAGGTGGTAACAGTGAACACAGTGAGATGGTTAGAGACTCTAGACATTTTGAATGTAAAGCTGATCAGATTTGCTAATTTAGTTGGATGTAGTGTGTAAAGGAAACCATCAAGTAAGACACCAAGATCATCGGCCTGAGTGACCGGAAGGATGGAGTTACCATTAACTGTGTTGGGGAAAGACTTCAGGAAATTGGGAATTCTGGTTTGGACATGTTAAGATGTCTATTAGACATTTCCTCAGAGCTATCAAAAAGCCAGATATATGAGTTTGAAGATTAGGAAAACTATGTGAGCTACAGATGTAAATTCCTGAGTTGCCAAAGTACAGCTGTTGTTTAAATCCATGAAACTAGACAAGATTAACGAGTGAGGATAGAGAATAAATTGTCCAAGAGCTGACATGTGGAACACCTGACTTTGCAGAGCTGGAGAAGCAGCAGCAAGCCTGGGAAGGAGTGGACAGTGTGTAGAAAACCAGTGTTGTGACCTTGAAGATCTGATAAACTATGTCAAATGCTGATAGGTTAAGATGAAGACAGGGGCTCATCACTGGATTTAACAGTGTGATCATCTTTAGAGGCCGTGGTGATAATCTTAGTAGAGTGTGGACAAAAGCCTAATTGAAGTAAGGAGTGTGGGAGAAGAGGAATTGGAGAGAGAGAACAGATCAACTCTTTGAGAAGCTTTGAAGACAAACACAGAGAAATGTGGCAGTATCAGAAAGTAGGCTTGAGACTTTTTTTTAAAGATATGAGCACATTTCTATATGCTGAAGGGAAAAATCTAGTAGAGAGAACGAACTGGTGATGTGGGAAGAGGAGAAATTGCTGGAATGATGTCTCTGAATATGAGAGTGGAGATCTACTGCAGAAGTGGTCTGGTCTTAGTGGTCAGCACAGATCATCTATACCACATGTACATGCAGGAAGGTGGGAAGTTCTCTTGATGGCTCCTATTTCTTCAGTGAAACAGTAATTAAGGTCATCAGCCAAGAGTGGGTATGCAGGGAAGTTTGAAGTTTGAGAAGAGAGAAACAGTTGTACAGAAGAGTGGGAGAATGAATGGACAAGGGTAATAAAATTCCCTGGCAGCTTTAAAGTGACGTTAATATGGTTGTGTTTTTTCTGCCACACTAAGGCACATACGTACAGGTGTGGAGTCAGAAGAGAGCTGGAATTAAATATGATCGAAGGTTTGCTGAGTATAATGGAACAAGGGAAGGGGAAAGACATTAGTGTGCAAGGAATTCACTCACCCCACCCCTAGGTCCAGTGGCAAGAAAGTGAAGACCACCACCACTTGCCTTTGGGAAAGAGACAGCTTTCATTTAGATCAAGAAGGTAAAAGCCCCATTCAGAGGCTGAGAACCCAGGGAATTTACTCACTCTTGGTAAGGGCTGTTTCAGTGGAGTGGTTTGGCATGACTGAAGTGGGTCAAGGAGCAAGTGGCAGATTGGTAAATTGGCACAAAAGTGGACAACTTTCAAAATTTTTTGATTTAAAGGTGCTACTTTGCTGAAGGTTGAAGGCAAAGTTTGTGTTTTAAGATGGAAGATACTACAGCAAGTTTCCGTGGAAGACCCAGTTAAGAGGGTAAAAATTAACAATACAAGAGAGAAATGAGATAAATGGGGGAATCCTTGCAGAAGCAAAGCCCTTGAAAAGGTCAAAGGATAATGGATCCAAAGCGTAAGTGGAAGAACTAATCTTAGAACTATCCTGTAAAAGGAAAGGCTATAAGTAAGAAGGTTGGCGGAATTGAGTTCTCTTTGGAATGAATCTATTTTATCTCTTTAGGTATGAAGTGAGGTTATCATCTGAGAGTTGGTGGTGGTGGTGTATTAATGTTGGAGATTCGATGAAAGAGAAGGGTGAGGAGAAATAGTCATAAGGTTGGGAAGATGAATTTACTAGGGCACTGAAGCAGGATCGTTTGGTAGTATTGAGTACCCATCTGAGATTTATGGTCATAAATTTGAAGTGCGATCAGTCAACATGGTTGTGTAATTTTTCCCCATCAGGCCTTGCTGCTTGGGTGCAGATGCCAAGTAAGTGGCTTAACAAGGACTGAGATCTTTGCCAGATGAACCTGACTGAGGGAGCAAGATACAAGGGGATTAAGATGTTTGCAATGTACAAATACTGGACCATGCAATCTATGCTTCATAAGGAAGGAAGGAAGGACAAGAAGTAGTAACAGATAGTGAAAAATCCTAAGAGCAAGGGACTAAGTCTGGAAGAGGTTAGAGATTGCCAGAGCAAGACATCTGGGGTAAATGAGATCAAAAGATGGATGATAATAATATGAAGGCTCAGTATATGAGATTAACATTTTGAAGATGGTGCATTATTGATTTTCTCCCCAAATTTAAGAAAAGCTTTAACCAAATAAAACCTTTATGATCAAGTTGATGTACATTTTGGCTATATTTGCAAAGCACTTTATGATTACATTATGGGTTTGGGGTTTGTTTGGCTAGGAGAATTTCCATTAATATCACCTGGTTTGAATTTCACAATTGATGTCAATATAAAACAAGTGCCCCAATGTTATAGTATAGGGAAACTCTAAAGCTTATAGGGAAAATTTATAAAACTTTTTTTTTTTTTTTTAGTGGCTGACCTGTACGGGGATCCGAACATGTGACTTTGGTATTGTTATAAGGCTGTGCTCTAACCAATTGCTCTGATTAATCAGCCAGCCCTATAAAACTGTTGACATCAACAATGAGGGATACATTGGCTTTACTGTTTCACATGAGTTTTATGATACCAATATCAGAACAAGAAAATGCTCATTCCATAATCAAGTGGAAATTTTCCAATGAATGTTATTATCACCAACAGCTTTAAAGATTAAGAGGAATTCTCTGGGAGTGTATATAAAAAAGGAATTGACTTAATGTCAGATATTTTGCTATTAATGATTTAAAAATAAACATAAGACATTGTGTATAAAATTTTATTTCACTGCCCTGTCACTTAAAATTATAAGAATATAAGCAAATATTATCCAATGTCAGAAGAGATTCAAGGTGACCATCTGCAATATTTAGTGACGAGTTAATAGTGTTGTGAAAATTTTCAATTCATTTAAAAAAATAAAGTTTCCCTTAAGTAATAATTAAGTTTAGCTTTATCTGTCTATATAATTAAACTTCCACTCGACTTATACAATTCCATTTTCTCCAACTGGGAGCTGTGCAGGGTCAAGCCCTACTTTCTTCATTGATACAGCAATATCAAACAAATAGTCATAACATTCACACCTGTAAGAGAAAAAGCAAAAAGAACCGAAGGTGTTTACTGAAAGAGCTCTCCAATCCTAAACAATCACATTTCTCCTCTCTATCCAGTTAACTCTTCTTTGTTCCTAGTATATTTTTTCCCTCAATTCTAGGCCCAAATTTTCTTATTTTGTCCCCCCAATTTTTAAAAAAATCATGGAAAGAAATCAATTTGAGTCATGCAAGGATATTATATATTTCTCAGGAAATAAAAGGGAGTTTAAAGTATACTACTTACATAAATTTACATTTCTTACTATGTGCCACTTTTTGAAATAAAACTTAGTAATTTGGGATCTGTGTCTCCTTCCTCTTTGTATCAATGTCCATAGAGCCTTGCCAAATAACAGCTCACCCAATAAAGTCTTCTTAATGAATGAACAATAATAAAAATCAAATAACTAGAAATAACAACTATTTAAATATAAACCAATCTGATCAACAAAACACACAAAAAAATCACACCTCATTTTAAATCATAAAACGTACTCTGTTCTCTTTCACATTTAGAGTGTGGTGACTTGTCCCAGGGGTTCTTTGATTTACACTTACATGGTTTTAGCCTTCTCCCATGTTTCTCCCCACACATATACTCCATGACGTCTGACTAGTACTGCACAGGAGTCTGGGTATTCATTCATTGCACGAGCCATTCGTTCTTTGAGGTCTTTCTCCTCAGGCGTATTTTCAATAATGGGTACTACTAACATATCATCATATCTGTAAGATGAACCAAGCCGTTTTTTTACTCCACTAAAACAAATAAAAATATTCATATATACAATTTGTAATTTTTGCAAGTAACCAGTGAGACATTCTTTTTATATCTGGAAAGCCACTCCAAATTATGAACAAGATGCTACCTTGGGAATTTGGCAGGCATTCTAATCCAGAAATTTGTACAATATACCAAATCTTGACAAAGAAGTCATCAAAATCATACAAGAATTTCCTTTAAGCAGAGACAATAATAATTTTTAACAGGAGATGGGAAATGATAGAGAAGTAGGAATTTTCCAACAATACAAAAATCATTGTATTTCATGTCTGCAGGACTCCAGAATGTCTTGGATGGGCAAAGCAATAAATACAAATGTGGTTTGTGGCACTAGGATAGCAAGACCCTTTTAGAGATAACTACTAAAGGTATGAAAACATTTTCAGAACACTGCCAAATCTATAGCTAGTATTAGAACTTCCTTCCACTTTGTTATCAGTAAATCCATGTTTTGAAATCAGAATGTTAATAATATTCAAGCAAATAACTTAGTCACTGGTAAAATTAAGTCTATTCTTGAGGTCATTAATAACCAACCAAAATTCGGACTGTTTTCCTTTTTACATGAATTTCTCTTGCACTGTGAATATAATATCTGCTTTTTTACTACCTCTGTAGTGTCTAAACTTAACCCCAAGAAAGTTCTAGCTAAAGTATTGTCAGAATCGCTACTGTAGAGCACATATAGACTAAGTAGCTATCATGTGATCAAGATTTGGCCAACCACTATCATTAACAGTGTGGAGTTGCCTATTATTTCACTTAAGTAAAACAGAGGGTAATTATAAAATATCCTTAAATATGGAAGGAATGAGTTGCTAGTCCCAAATCTTTCCAATACTGGCCTGGAAAACCACAAACATATTTTCATAAAGCATACACCAAACAGACAGAAATATTTCCAGGTACAAAATGATTTCACAAAAAAATAAGACCTGAGAGCTAATTCAAGCTAATCCCCTCATTTTACAGAAAGGATACTGATCCTGACAAGTTAAACAAGAAACAGAGCCAGAGTAGTCTCTATCAGACAGTGTTCTTTTCATTCTACCATAGGCACACTACTTCCAAAAGGGAGGACAATTATATCTATACATGTTAACCTCCCCTGGTAAGAACTAAGTCTTTTAAAGTTGGATCTTTTAAAAGAAAAACAGAATGGAGAATATTGAAACTCCATCCTTTCTTTCTTTATCCAGCTTTCATTGACTCTTCATTTTTGATTCTTGAGACTCTTAAGATTCTCCCCAAATTCAGATAAAATATCACTGCCTCCTGAGCTGTGATAATGACCCTGTTATTCATTTCCCAGCTAAGCTCAAATACAATTGCAAAGGGCACCTTAAAAAAGTTTTTATTCTTCAAATTCTGAAACATTCAAAATAATATATAAAATGTATATGTTATGTATAACAAATGGCATCTTTTCATTCATGTCATTCTTTTTTCCACAAAATTCCAAAGGCTCTCTACTATGCTCTGTTCCTTCCCCCACCATTTCCCACGTTCTTCCAACCTATTTTTATTTCTTCACCAAAGCAAACAAATGCATATAAAATTTACAGCATCCATAATACTTCTCTTTCAAGACTCAGATATGGAAAAGGCAGTATGAAGCTATTCTTTCTTTAGTATGTATACTTTTCATAATTTAAATATTTAACTTGTGTAAATAGTGTTTTACAGTGCTTAGGAATGCCTTAGACACACAATAAATATTAACTGAAATTAAATCACATTAATTTTTCAGCACACTAGTTTAAACATGTACATTCTATTACATGCAGTGACAATATATTGCTGTAAGAACACTTTAGTAAAACTGGCTCTGTTTTCTTCTTAAAAAGGCAAGGTAGAATTAGGCTCTTTAAGAAATTAAGAAAAGTGAAGGTTCAAGAATAAGAATGCTAATAAATTCAAATGCAATGCTTAGCCTGTACCAGAGCACTGAGAACATGTTTATTCAGGCCATTATATTCTAGATTTATGAATAATTGCTACATTTTTCTGGGCTGGTAGATTTATTTAAACTCATCTAGGGGGCTTCTGGTCAAGATGGCTGAATAGATGTTCCCCAGTGTCACTCTCTCTCACAAATCAACTGATTTACAACTATAAAAAGCAACAACAGCCAAGCTGGGGCTGCCAGAGCTCAGGGGAAGAGGAGGAGAGACCTATGGAGTGCATGAAGGTGGGAAAAGCCACAATGAGAGAAAGAAAAAACTGCTCTGACAGTTTCGAGCCCTGGCCACTTCCAGGCTAGAGCTGCTGGGCACACAGAGAAGGAGCCAACAAAAGCCACAGCTGTGCCCTTTGGTTGGAGTTGCTTGGAGGCGGCAGGGGAGAAGAGGGCCATGGTGACCTCAGGCCAGCAAGACCACTAATAGGGTTCCCGTGGACCCACACAGGAGTGAGGAGCCACAACTGAAAAAAAGGAGCCACTCAGAGGCCGGTGAGTCATCACAAGGGACCATCAGTGAGTCAGTGCACGGCCCATCCCGTGCGAAGTGTTTGCAGCACAGGCAGTGGGGGTGATGGGCCCACCAGGTGAATACTGGGGTACAGCAAGGACAGTTGATCCGCCCCCTAATCAATGAAGGACCACTCAGAGGAGACTGGTCAGGAATATAGAACTGCATGGGGTGCAGTTTGATGAAAAGACTCAGACCCAGACCAGAGTGTCTACACAACCCAGGTGCACTGGATCTTTTGAAAGCCAGAAGTACCTATAAAGTCAACCATTAAAACCTGCACTGCACAAAAAGCCTTCCCTAGGGAATCAGCAGCAAGGCAGCAATTTAGCTCAACCACAGAGCTCAAGTGCTGGTCCCAACAGGAAGTTCCCCCATTTTAGAAGTGAGCAAAGGACAACAAATTAGTTCCAGTGCAGAAATCAAATGGTGAGAGCAGCAAATAATCCAACACATAAGTGAAAGAAAAAACAAAGTACCCGCAACCAGAGACAAAATTTCATATTAACTAGTAAAGGTCTCATTTCACCAAAGAACACCTATTACACCTAGAAGGACTGGAAGTCCCCTAGGCTACCAAGTCAGAAAGGGGGGAGGGCTGGGGGCCTCAGCAATACCCCCCAACACCTGCAACCAATCCCAAGCGTGGGGGATGAGGGCCTTGGCCACGCCCCGTGACATGCACAGCCAGCCCAGAAGTGACCACCGAGCCACCAGAGGAAGTGCCCAGTGCTCTCCCAACCAGGGGTGGTAGGGGGCCTCAGCCATGCCCCCCTGACAACTGCAGTCAGCCCAGCGGCGACCATAGAGCCACCACAGGTAGTGCCCTGAGCGTCCTGAGCTGGGGTGGTGGTGGGGCCTGGGGCCTTGGCCACACCCTGCTGACACGTGCAACCAGCCCAGCAATGACAACTAAGTTGCAGCAAGAAGGGTCCCAGGTTCCCAAGCTGGGACGGTAGGGGGTGAGGGCTTTTGCCACATCCCCCTGACATCTGCACCCAGCCCTCGATCCCACCCCTCCTCCTTCCTCCTTCTTCCAATCCATTTTCTTCCCCTTCTCCCCCTCCCCAACTGCTCCGCAACAACATCCTAGAATGTAAAAAATAATATTAATAAAATTACATTTTCTTTAAAAAATAAAAGAGAACTTTGTATCATTAAAAAAAACGTATCTGAAAGATTACTGTTCTATTCTTACTATCCATGCCACCTTCTGTACTGAAAAATTCTAAAAATATAGAGATCTACTTAATTAAAATAATTAGAAAACTTATAAATCTGAAAATATTCCAGAAGTACAAAATTACACCAACATAAAGTATAAACTTTAGTCACAGCTCAAACCTCCTGAAGACAAAAGGAAGGTGAGATCTTGCTCTTTGGGTACCTCAATACAGGAACATAATCTTTTCATCTCTATAGAAATCTCAGCCACAGCTTATTTCATTTTACTCTAACAAACATTTCATTATTCATATTGCTAATGATTTACCATGCCTGGAGTAGGGTTGGAGAAGGAGGGAAGCCACTGAGAACAGAGGTGGAAGTTTAATATTAAGTGGGCATTATTTAACATAGATCCCATGATATCTCATTATATGCATAGAAAGATCAGTATCCAATTTGTCAGGGAGAAGGAAAAAGACTTTCAAATTATGTAAGAAAAAGAAAATACCTATAATACTCTCCTGAGGTACATTTCCTTATTCCTTTTATCATCTCTTGATGTGTAATTTTGAACTCCCGTCCTGGAAAGAGAAGGGTGGCCATGACAGCAGCTTTAGAGTGGGTATGAATCACTGCGCCAGCTCCTGAAGGTGGAAGAACAAAGTCACATGCTTAATGAAGACTAAATTATACCTTTTAAAGAAAAAAATATTTATGCCTATATTTTTACCTACAGTTATATGTGGTTACACACTTATTTTTCCTGGCATGGAATAATCAGTTGGCAAAGGGTAGGAGGGTGAATGGAATAATAATGGACCTTCCTCATAGGATGATGTGAGACCTGAATGCGTTAGTACATTTAAAATTCTTGCTCACAGTGCGTATTCAAGAAATATTAACTAAAATAATAACTGCCATTACTTAGAGGAGCCTACTCTGCAAACATTCTTTAAGTTGAATACATTTTCTACATACCTCTCATTGTGTAAGCATTCATGAAAAGAGGAGTACACTGGCTTTTTTTTAGCTTCTTAAATGATGGAGGTCCACTTATGTCCTGTTCATTTATATCACAAACAAACATGTCTTCAGGCTATTCATAGAGGGAGAAAAAGTAAACAAGAACGCTTATGCAATATCAATTAGAAATGCCCCTTTTCTGGTATATATGTAGTATACCCACAAACACATATTTAACTCATATTTTAAGTATAGTCGTGCACCGCATAATGACATTTTGGTCAGTGATGGACTGCATATATGATGGTGGTCCCATAACATTATAATGGAGCTGAAAAATTCCTTTTCTGTTTGTAGATATGTTTAGATACACAAATACTTACCACTGTATTACAATTGCCTAGAGTATTCAGTGCAGTAACGCTGTCCAGGTTTGTAGCCTAGCATCAATAGGCTTTATCATATATCCTAGGAATACAGAAGGCTATACCATCTAGGTTTGTGTAAGTACACTCTGTGATGTTCGCAAGACAAAAGTGCCTAAGGATGCATTTCTCAGAATGCATTCCTGATGTTAAGTGAAGCATGACTATGTTCATATAATTAAAATTTCTCTCAAAACATTTTAGCAATTTTGAGAAATAAAAGTATTTTCTACTAACAAAAATATTTTTGAGAATTTTAAAAATCACCTTCCTTTAGAATTTGGAGAAAAAATTGATATGGAAAATTAATATGTACGTATTGATGATAATGATACTGCTCTCATTTCATCAATTTAACTTTTCAGCTTTGCCCTGTAATTTCACAATTATATTTCAGAGATACTATATTAAGAAATCAGCATTCTCAGATAGGTGTTAATTTTTTTTCACATTTCATAAAAGGAAAAATTTAGAGTAAAATTTTCTTATCCCCTGAGAAACTTAACTGGTACAGCCAGCCCTCTGTATCTGCAGATTTCGCATCTGTAGACTTAACCAACCATGGATAGCAAATACTGGGGGAAAAAATACAACAACAACAACAAACCAAAAAAAAAAATGCAGTATAAAGTATAACAACGATTTACATAGCATTTACATTGTATTAGGTATTTTAAGTAATCTAGAGATAACTTAAAGTACATGGGAAGATGTGCATAGGTTATATGTAAATACTACGCCATTTTATATTAGATTTGAGCACCTGTGTATTTTGGTATCCACAAGGGGTCCTGGAACCAATCCATCATGGATACCAAGAGACAACTGTACTGAGAAAGATCAATCTCAGTAAGATATATTATTCTTAAAGTTTTAAGAAATTACATAGATCCACAGATTCTTCTTAGTAATGTATGTGTATTTCTGACATAACTTTCATTTGCCATGGTTGTACAAACTACAATATAAATGTTTTATTAATGAAGCAGCTTCTTTTTTTTTCTTACCTTTGGCAGAACTTAAGTATTATGTGTTTGTTTAAACCAGATTTCAGGTATTATTATAGAATTAATAGAACGGGACTTCTCAAAATTTTGAAATAAAGTTTCATAAATGTAAATTGGAATAGTGCTATTATGAAATATGAATCAATTTGGTCCGTCTGAGACCATCAATCTGATCATCCCACTAGTCTGATAAAGATATTGTTATAAGGCTACAAAGTTATAATCACTTTTTAATTAAAATTTAAGGTTGCACTATTCACTTTTCCAGTCTACAGGTTGAATAAGATTTTAAAACATACACTGGTTGCATGGAGGATACTTTACCAAATTAAAAAACTTTAATAGTTACTCAACAAATGTTTGTTTATTAGTTGTTGAAGTTATCACAATATAACCACCCTTCAAAACTAACATTTTCTTTTAAAATTAATTCCATTTCACAAAACAATAGTTAAGTAGAGAAGAAAAGACATTTGGATCCCTTTACCATACCTGAATTCGTTCCTTTTGCACTCCTGAAGGAGCAATGTAGATTTCATTGCTGGTAACACAAAATGTAGAAATTGGTATTTATATAACTAATTTTCTGCTTTTTCACAAAGAAAACTGTATCCTTGCAGTCCAATCACCAATGTTCTTTATAAATCAAGTCATACAAATAGCTGCTTGATTTAATTAAGGTTTTATGCTGCTTAGAAAGAATACCAAACTACTTTAATGGATTTGTAAATGCTTGTGGCACAGTAAAATGTTGGTAGCTGCTTTTGTTCATGTTTTCATATATATTTCTTTCTTTTTATGGTGCAAAAATCATTGGTAATCAGGCTTTTACCTAGTTAGGAGAAGTAAAAATCTGAAAACATAAGTCTCTAGCATTTTTAAACATAAATAGCAGAGTTTATCCTATTATATGTGAATTACAGTTATTCTAAAATACAGTCAGGAGAAAATACAGTCAATAGGAGCAGATTTCTGTCATGCAAAGAATTGGGTTTAATTTTACTGCTTGAAATATTGCTCTTATTATAAACCATGAAGTTTAGAGACCTCTGCTGGACAGTTTATTAAATTACAGCATTAACACTGGGCTACTTTTTGGATAAAACAATACGCTAACTATTTGAAAAGCACATGTATCTTGGAAATATTTGATAATACAACTAAAACAATTGCAAAAAGTTAAAAAGAAGAAGAATGGCTACATGTGGACATCTCTGTTACAGGATGTTCTGCTAAGGAAGATGCTATATCCTACCATTTTCCACAAGGTGCTCTCAAATTTGATCTGGAAATTAATTTCAAAATCTTCTCTAAATCCTCTCCATTCTCATCAAAGGTTCTTTAGCTCACTTATTAGTTTCAGCTGCTGCCAAAGAGTATTAATGAGCTTCCACTTACATGAAAACCAAGGAAATGCCAGCACCTGCACGCTCTAGCTTCTGCCACTGAGGCACAGACATAGGGACAATGAACAAATAGCAAATGTTTCCTGGTCAAAATGAGAATCATGGCCTATCTCAATCCGTCAAAGTTGGGTTACTGGGCCGGCCCCATGGCTCACTCAGGAGAGTGCGGCGTTGGTAGCGCCTAGGCTGCGGGTTCGGATCCTGTATAGGAATGGCCAGTGCGCTCACTGGCTGAGTGTGGTGCAGACAACACTGAGCCGAAGGTTGCGATCCCCTTGCCGGTCAAAAAAAAAAAAAAAAAAGTTGGGTTACTAATAAAGCTACAGACTTGGATCTGACAAAAATGTTAGGTGACCCCCGCCGAGGGTTCGGATCCCACATACAGACCGGTTCCCGCTCACTGGCTGAGCAAGGCGCGGGGGCAACACCGAGGGTTGTGATCCCGTTGCCGGTCCCGGTCCGGTACGGGGGTGACACTGAGGGTTGCGATCCGTTGCCGGACACGGAAAAAGACAAAAAAAAAAAAAAAAAAAAAAAAAAAAAAAAAAAA